TTTAAACACGAAGCGTTCGGCCGAGGGAAAGCCAAGATGAATGAAAGGATACCTTGGCACACCTCTAGGGATAAATTTAAGATACGGTATTCCCAGATCTGCCCAATACATGTTCTGAAGCTGGTAGATGGGATTAAGAAGGCCCTAGCTTTTTAATAAATTATCCCTCGCCCGTATAGGGGGGGGGGTCGAACGAACCACCCCCTCGTTTTTTTCGAGAATAACTCGCGTAAAAAGCGGCCGATCGCGACGAAACTTTCAGGACCCTCGAGTCAATTAATTTGACACCTACTCTGAAAATCTCATATTCCTTACCCAAATGACCTTTGACCTGTGACCTATTTCTTGAGGCCATGTTTGGCCGGAATCGCGATTCGGCGAGCCGCTAATGCGTTCCGTTCACTCCCGTTCCGTTTCGGGTGTTCTGGTCAGTTGTGCTCTCGCTTTCCCTTCCGCTTGGGGTGTCCTGATCAGCGATGCCCTCCGTTCCGTTGCAGTTGCTCTGATCAGTGATCACTGATGCCCTCCGTTCTGTTGCGGGTGCTCTGATCACTGATCACTGATCATTGACGCTCTCACTCAGCACTTATCATATGACATGATACGAAGCTACCGCTCCGTTTCGGTGGCCGGCCATGAGGTCGGTGGCATCCTTTTATCTTTTTTTTTTGCATCCCGTTCCGTTCCGATATGGATGCCCTGGTTACTGGTCAGTTGCACGCTTTTTATTGCGATATTGCGTATTATGCTGCGCAGTGCACATCGTTCCGTTTAGGGTGCCCTAATCAGTGACACTTTGTCTAGTCTCATGTAGTGCACCGTTCCTTTCGAAGAGTTGCGCTGACACCGTTTCCATTTTCACTATGCGTAATGAGTACCGACTATCGCTGGCCGTTCCTGCGTTCGGGCCGGGAGATTTCCGGCGTATGTCATGCTGCATAGTGGCGTGCGACTGCAATTGCATACTCAATACTGCGTCCCGTTCCGTGTGCCCAGAGCAAAGGCACCATGCCCAGTATCATCCGGCCATTGTCATATCTGTTGAAAATGGAAAGCTCAAAGCTATACTGCGTACACTGTACGAATATTACCATATCAGATGCGAACGAAAACTACATACTTATATTGCCGCATATTATCTCAAATATACAGTAATCTTGGAAGCGGTGCTGCCATATTGTAGGCGCAAAACGTCCCAGAGGCCAGAACACATGAGTTATACGGTTTCTGGTTTCATAACGATCAGTTACGTCAACAAACTGCCCATCAGGGTATCATGATTACCTAAGATTTTATGTCTGACAGTGTCACAGTGATGACCACGCCTCACGCATTACACACTTACATACAAATACACAGTCTGAGTCAACTGCGCTAAATCAATAATACAGGACGACAGAATGATACCCTTTGCAACGGCAACGACAGGTTCCTTCCCACTTCCTTTGCTTAGAAAAGAAAGAAAACTTCTCCACATGGCACTAGTACCAAAGCCTGCATATGGAGAGAGCTCCCTCACCCGCCCCTCCCCCACCCTCCTTAAGATATGACAACAGATTTCAACAGAATCATTGCATCTTCTGCTTCTTAAAGACCTAGTTCGCTCGCATGATGGCGACTGGCGTCGCGAGGATGGAGGTCCGCGGATGATCTTTTGGAGAAATATACAGGCAGAAGGACCGTCCTGGATCCGTGCCAGTAAGCATGAGTAGGAACTTAGCAGATGCTGACGGTAATATCTGCTGTCTGCATCTGAAACGGAAAGGAAGGCATTGATTTAAGGCTAGGAGAAGGATGGCCACTGGACAGTCATTCAATTGTGACGATGCATTTTGACTTGTGAGGAGAATGAAATCTCACTGGTTGAAGTAGGTATTCATTCTTAGCTGTATAAGAGACAAGGGTGATTCTTAACTTCATTAGTCTCAATCAAACACAAAGGTTGGGATAAAATGGGACGGATTTCGAAACACTTGGCGATCAGATGCTAAAGTTATAATTCTGCCGTATATCATCCTTACCTATTTGCATCGTCTTTTTCGGTTAGTTTTGGTGGTCAAGAATGGTATGTTCTTTTATTATCAGCCAGCGTAGCGTTACGCCTTTATTGCGAAAGTGATATAGGTTTTCACTTGTTTTTTTCTCATCCTAGATTTTTTGGTCATCATCGTCACACCCAACCAAAATCCAATTTTAGAACACTGCTGTGATATCCCCCGGGCACTGGGACAGACTGCGGCCAACCAATGTCCGCCACCGGCCACCCAAAGAGAGTGGGTCGGTTCCAATCACCGGAAAGGGGGAGGGGCGCTTCCAATCACCAGGGGATGAGACCGGCCGCCAGGACCGCGGCGCTGCCGTCCATCGTCGGCGCTCTGTCGGCAGCAGACCACCGATAGACGGGTACAGACTCGAGAGACGAGTCAAATCACCGCAACCCGACAGCCATTCTGGTCCGATGTAGTTTAGATAATATAATACGTTACAGTTCATTTGAGTTACGGTATCAATTATTTCGGAAACATATTAACTACTTAAAACTAAGGTTTCGTCGCAAACTATTGCTTTTTTCGCGAGTATTTTACAAAAACCTGAGTGTCTACCTGACCCCTTCGCTCTCTGTGTCAGCCCCTGCTTTAGCCGCCAATGTCGCCACCCGTTCCTCAGGCATTTGAGTTGATGCAGGACGTGAAGGACACATGCATGTAAAGGGCAAAGCTGCCAAAAGTGTGAAGTAATCCCTAAAACGAATGACGGATCAGTGAGTGATCTATCAAAGTGTCCACGTCACGCATGAACAATAAATCATCTCCACGGTAACCCTGTTATAGCGCTGAAAGCACCGAATTCTGCCAGAGTCTGGTCGCGCCCGCAGGATCCCGTGTCCCGAAATACAGCGGTCGATACATGCACGCCTGTGGGCCGGCCGATGGTACGCCTCCCACGGCGGCGTCCGGTCAGAGCCGCCCCCGGCGCGTCACGGTAACCCAGTGACGTCATCAGCTGCGGGCCGAGTCGAGCAGCAGCCTTGGAGGCACGCATGAACACAACGAGCCGGTGGCTGCCGTGAAACCAGTCCACTGCCGTTAGTGGATGCCTCCTAAAGACTGCTAATGCTGGTAAGCGAAAGTTGGTGGAGAGTCAACAACGCAGGATCGCGATCCGTGCTTTGGCATTGCCGCACCAAGTGAGCGCGTGAAAAGGTTAAATAATAGGTATGCATGCCTTTAAACGTTAACATGCAACACTGCCACCATCGAACAACAGCCAACAGTTTACCCGCTGTAAAACTGACCCTGCGGCACTGATCATAAGTCATAACAAAGTAACGTTCACATCTCAGCTGAAATAGGCTCCGAATCGGCCCGTGTGGGAAGCACCGGCCGCCTGTGCCGCCGCGGGATACAGTCTCATTGCCATCACAGATGGAGTGGGAATGTTTCCAGACTGGCTCCAGTGCCTGCAGGCGTCCCGTCCATCTCGCAGCCATCGCCGGAAACGAGCCTTCCTGAGCACATCGTCACGCGGTGTTTAGTGGCATCGATCTCGACCGGAGCGCCCAAATCCCAACTCTCCCGACTCATATAGTTCCTTCTCGACCCCGGCCGATACTCTCTCGACCCCGAACGTGCCTTTTCCAACACCGACCGTTCTCATTGCGACCCAGCCCTTTCATACTCCAAACGTGACAATTTCTCGTCCAGCCCCACCGTTCTCTCTCGACCCGGTTAGATCCACTCTCGACACTTCCTCTCATGGGTTACAATTTTTTCCATCCTCTTCCGAGCCCGACCATTCTTCTATTGACGCATCGACAAATCTTCCAACTTTTCGTTTCCGAACTCCAGGTCGTTCGGCCCTAGATCTATTGTTCCACCAAAGACTGCAGACCCGCTGATAAAATGCCTTATACGCCTGATTTGGTTTCCCAGTGCCTTATTTGCAGGTTTACCGAATGGTCGGACTTGATAAGCCACTAAGCTCTAGTTTTGCACAGGGAAGTTCAAATGACCGTTAGTGTCCTGAGCCTTGCGCTCGAACAGTCCGCATGTGAACAAGGACAGCCGGACAAGGGTAACAAAGTAGACGATCCGGATTTACACCCCACTTCAAGCAAGCCGACACCAGCGGGCTTTAAATACAACTGATCAGGGTGGTACTTTCAGATTCACAGTCAGGATTGCTAGAAATCCACATTTTACTAGCAAGAACGTCCTTTTACGCACGTACGTTTCGTAAGCTATCTGGGCTTAGAGAGCCAGCAGCACACAAAAAGGATTTATTTCTAGTAAACTGCTGGTTCGTGAAATGCGGCGTTAGGCTGGTATCTAGGTGTATGAGGGCAAAAAGCACCGGACAATGGTGACAACAATCGGCAAATACTGGCGCACATATATAATGACACCATATAGATGTAGGCGGATATTGCTTTCATCCATGGTCAATTACATGAACGCTCTCGAATTAATAATGACCTTGCAGCTGGCAACAATGCCATCATTCCTGGATGGAAGCTATTTTCCCAGGCAGGACACATGCGGATGACCTCGGGTGTCGTGCAACACGGTGTTCCACTCACTCCCCGTTCGTTGTATGTACTGTAATGCATTAAAAGCTGCTAGGTATCTAAGTGCTTGGATGATCCGATGACCTATCCCTTAAGCTCATTACCTACCCACTGAGCTCACTGCTCTCTGAAATCACGGCTCTCCAAACTCCTGCTCTCCTATCCCACAAGCCCACGCTCCTAAAACTTCCTGTCCCTGAACACACGGATCTCCGAATCCACGACCCTAGTTTGAACTGAGCTCACGATCTTCGATTCCCCAAGCCCACAAAACCATGTAGCACTCAGCATTTCACTGTTTTATCTCACTGCTCTTCGGACTCACTACTCTCCGCTCACCCGAGCCCACCCCTCTCCAATACCCGACCCCCCCCCCTTCGATGCTCTTGCCCACTGCTCCCCGATCCCCGAACCCACCGCTCTATGAACTCACCTCGATGGCTTCGTCGACCAGGATCTCCTCGCGGTCCGACCTTCCGGGCCGCTCCTGCAACAGAGGGCCACACAACGGTTAGCGTCCGGTAATCAGCTGGTCCCCAATGACTCTCTCATAGACGAGTTGCTATACCTGTCCCAGTCCTCGGTCATACTGTACCCTACATTTACACTGACCGAGAACGATGAACCAGCGCCAGCCGCCACACCAAAAGCAGGTTGTTGACAAAAAAAAAATGAGAAAAGATCAAAGATGTCAGAAATTACTTAGTATTTCAGTCAGTTACCCATTTGATGTGAGCTGTACTCTTATTTGAACATGGAACAAGGCCATTGGCTAAACAAATGGTGCATGACTGTTGGTGAATGACAGGGGATCATAGGAACATTTGTGATTTGACTGACAGTTCCTCAATCCTCAGCCCTTGAACTTAACATAGTTTTGCAGTTTTCCCCACATTAAAAGAAATGTTATTGACAAATTGTATCAGATAAAATCTGGCTTAACACTGCACAATAATGCAAAGGTAAGGAAAATAATCAGAGGACCTTTTTGGAAATAAGCGAAGCTTTTGGGGAGTTCCATTGGCCACACATGCTCAATGACATAAAGGCTCTGCCTGTTCATCACTTTTCATCAGAAGGAAGCCAGTCTGCTGACTGTATCATAATATCATTTCTAAGCTTCCTAAAAATGCCCCCTTAAGCTTAAAGATCCTTCATCACATACTGGATGTCGGATGAGGGGTCTGTCTCCCTACTTGCTGGCAGCAGGTTCATGGCCAGAAAGCTTCCTGTCATATTTTGGCCTGCATTCCTACATTAAGCCAGCTGGCAACTAGTCAAAGAGGATAGTGCTAGACCTGTCACCTGGCAGGCTTGTGCTGCCATCTACCTCAACCTGAGGTGCACAAAATTTTCTATCAAAATTATCTCCAGTGAACCTGGTGCGGAGGGCTGTTCACGGGCCCTGTGTGCGGTCGGACCGCACACAGCCTCCAAGCTCCGCCCACTGCGTCCCTACGTCAGCCTTCCGTCACCGCACACAGCGATCGCTGTGGCCGGTCGGGACTGGGTCACAGCGGACCGTCCACCGCACGCAGCCGTGATGTCAGAGCTGCCTACCCATCCCCTACCCCACGCCTGCTGGACGCACCGCACACACCGCACGCAGCAGTGTGCGGTGCCCGTGAACACCCCTCAGGAAAGGTCAGGTCGTGGGTCCATCGTGTCATTTGCAACAAGCAATGCTTAGCAGGGCATCTAGCTCCACAACTGCCATTGGCTGTGGATCTCTGTAGCTGTCGATCATCAGTTCGGACAAAAGTTCTAAAAAAAGGTTAATTCACTTGGTCTGTGCAGTTCACCAAGGAGGGACCAATAAATGCCAACAATGAATTCCTGTATATGAGAACTGGCAGCATGCTGATAAAATGGCATCAAACAGCACCATGATATATAAATGAAAAAGCCTCAGGACGTGCACTACCCACCTTCGGACGTCCCTGGTCATCTTTCAGCTGCAATTTCTTCCATGGATCTGCAAATTGTGCGAGCGGCATATTTTTTGGTGGCAGAAGGAAAGTACACAGCGCAGCTCAAGCTTGAATGCAAGGAAACAAATCTTGTATGCAGCCCACGACGCCGAAGCTGATGTCACCGTTAACGCCTAAGTTAATCAAATCCTCTGATGTATCTAACATCAGCAGGCACACTTCAATGTCCACAAATACCGCAGAATGGTAGCTACAAAACAACACAGCTTCACACGGCGTAGTCAAAAACACAAGGCCGCAATTCACGGGGCAGTGAACCGAACTGAACCACTGAACGCGACTGAACTCAGTGCTGCCAGATGGGGAAGGCTGTAATCCTCTATATCAGTTACAAAAAATCCTCCAGATTCCTCCAAATCCTATTGGTAGATATAGAAAGGCGGTCTTGGACGCTGCGGGGGGCTATACCCCCAAAAAAGTTTCACCAAATACTAAAAACCCATCGGATTTCGAATCTTTTCGCACTGCTGTGCAGTTTAAAAGATACTTTTTCTTATAAAAGTTGTTGAGTTTTCGTTTTATCTTCAAAAAACGAAAATTTTCGTCGATTTCAGGCGCTGCAGGGGGGCCGGGGGCATTTGCCCCAAATGTCCCCCTTAGATCCGCCAGTAGTTTGGTACCCTCGTAAATATAGCTACAGACTGAGACATTCTGCAGTCTCACGGTGATAAAGGACGTGATATATCCTAACGGGTAGGGTGACGCTGGGCAGGAAAATGCCTTTTTAGTCTTGAATGTGTTATATTTTTCCATGAAATTGAATATAATAATCGGGCGACAAATCCTCCAGATTTTCCTCCAGAATCAAAAATCCTCCAAAAGCGAAATTTGTCCGCAAATAGAGTTCAAAATCCTCCAGATTTGCGGAAATCCTCCAAATCTGGCAACACTGACTGAACTGCACCAAACTGCAGATGCCTGGGGTGTTCACGGGCACCGCACACTGCTGCGTGCGGTGTGTGCGGTACGTCCAGCAGGCGTGGGGGTAGGGGATGGGTAGGCGGCTCTGACGTCACGGCTGCGTGCGGTGGACGGTCCGCTGTGGCCAGTCCCGACCGGCCACAGCGGTCGCTGTGTGCGGTGACGCAAGGCTGACGTAGGGACGCAGTGGGCGGAGCTTGGAGGCTGTGTGCGGTCCGACCGCACACAGGGTCCGTGAACAGCCCTTGAACTGCACTGAACAGAGAGAGCGGAGCAAGGTGCAAGTTTGTTATCATTCAGTTCGTCGACTTTTGTTTTATGCTAAAATGACGTCATCAGAAAAGAAATTTTGATTGTCTTTCATTATTGAAATATATATTTTGGATTTGAAACAAGAACACAAAACTATGATTGAGTATAATAAGACAATCTCAATTATCTGAACCCAATCAAAAACCTTCGTTGAAAGGAAAAATGAATATATTTTGTATACGTCATTTCAGGACAGGGCGATAGCTTGATGACGTAATAGGACCATCTCAGCTGATCGGTGCTAGCATGGTGCTATGGGTGCTATTAGCGCCACCTGCCGCATGTAAACAAAAGTGCCACCCAAGCTACCCCCTGAGAGTTCCAGAGTGCTTGATGATATCACGGATTCAATATTCATGTGGATTGTGGATTGAAGCTAATTGATAAACTTTCATTATTTGAGGATGGAGGCCGAGACTATCAACTTCCAGTCTCACTCGCAGGATAAAGTTATCCGTGGGAACTCAAGGAAAAAGACGAGGCGCGGCAAGAAGAAAAGCGCAGTTCGTGAGCGATCTTTGAGCCGTCAAACGACACGAACTCCTTTCGCCGAGATCAAGTTTTCCCACATCCTCCATTCAAGTGTCAAACGTACTCCTTTCCCTCCAAGTCACCCCTTGTATGTTGGTTTGGCCGCTGACGCGCAAACGAAGCGCATCAAGGAGTTCATCTCGCAGATTCTCGAGGTCCGTCTGTGTGACACGCGGCAGGCACCGTCTCTGACGCCGTGCTCTGTCGGCTGCCGGCGCCGCCTGGAGGCCCTGCTGGCAGAAGTGCTGGCGCGCCGGCGCCGGTGCCGACCGTCGGCGCTGCTGGCGCGCCGCTGCGGCCGCGGCCGCGTGCCCCCGGGCGCGCTGGCGTCCGCGCTCGGGCGGCTGCTGCGCCGGCTGCTGCCCGCGGACCTGCTCGGGCCTCGGCGGCTGGACGCGGCCATCCGCCACCTGCTGTCGCTCGGCCGGTACGACCTGCTCAGCGTGGGAGACATCACCCGCGGCCTGCGCCTGCAGGGTCGCGCCTGGCTGGCCGGGGAGCGGGCCGACGCCGCCGTCCCCATCCTGAACCAAGTGGCCGTCTGGGCTTTCAGATGTTTTGTCCTGGACGTGCTCGGGGCGTACTTCTACGTGACGGAGCTGCTTCAGCCGCGACTGCAGCTGGGCTTCTTCCTGCTGCGCCACTGGCAGCGGCTGACGGACGGCGAGGTGGCGCGGCTGACGGCCGGCGGCGCGCTGCAGCCGCTGCCGCCCGTCGGGCCGGGCGCCGCGCGCCGTGCGGCCGCCAGGCTGCGGTTCCTTCCGAAATCGAGCGGAGCGCTGCGGCCCGTGTGCAGTTTGCAGCGGTCGGTGGCGGTAAAGGACCGCTGGGCGCAGCTGCGTACCGTCCTGCGGCTGCCGCAGATGGGCAGGGACATCACGGCCTCGGACCGCCGCCAGCTGCACCTCCGCTGGATGCGCTTCGTCACCGCCCGCCGCCGGCTGCCGTCGCCGCTCTGGTACGTCAGAGCCGACGTGCGCGATGCCTACGGCTCCGTGTCGCACGAGCTGCTGCTGCGCGTGCTGCATGAACGACTGGCGGCGATGCCGGCACAGGTTTATCTGGCTCGCCGCTCGCGGGGCACCGGCTACATGGCCTGGGATGGCGGATCCGCCCTGAAGATCTCCGTGTCCACGGCTGCCGTGCTGGAGGAAGTGACCACGCTGGTCAACACGCAGGAGGTGCGGTACGGCCGGCGGCGGTTCCGTCTGGCGCGCGGCCTGCTGCAGGGCGGTCCGCTGTCGGCCGACCTGTGTGACCTCTACTACGACTCTGTGCTGCGCCGCGCCGTGCCCTGGTGCTTCCCGGAGCGGAGTCAGGAGGCGCTGCTGATGTTCCGCTGCGTGGACGACCTGCTGCTCATCTCCGAGCGGCGCTCGGACGCGCTCCGCTTCCTGGAGCGGCTGCAGGCCGGACTGGACGGACGGCACGCCCGGCTCAACGGCGCCAAAACGAGGACCAACCTGCACGGCGAGCACGGACCCGAGGTGACCTTCTTCGGCACCGTCTTCAGCGTCGACAAGCTAGAGGTGAGACCGGCTGCTCGAGGGAAACCTTCGATTTTGCAACTGTGTGCCGTCCTGCAGTTGATCAAGGATGTGTATGGCTTTGCCTGTCTGCAATTATTTATCGATTTCTGTAGTATTCACAAATCGTTTCCTTTATGAACGAACACTTCTGTATTCATTAGTATCCTGTAATCATCGTAGTATGTGGTGCTAACCTATAGTCATACATTCCTATTGTGTAATAAATGCTAATGTGGTTGTTTTATGCTCATTATTTCGCAGCCTGAGGCGACGTTTAACATACATAGTCGCGACTCTGTCATGTGCCATTGTGCAAGGACTTCCCAGAGACGGTCCCTCGTTTATGTAGGACCGTCTAACCATATGTCTGGCCAATGTTTAGTCAAACCATGCACTGCCCTCCGTCCGGAGATGGATGGTTATTCACGGTGGTTCTCTGCCGCAGGTGTCTCCGGACTTCTCGGCTTACCGGGGTGTGGACATGCGGTTCACGTTCCGCACGCGCCAGCTGCGCTCGCCGGGCCGCTACCTGATGGCTCGACTGCCGTACCTGGCTACCGTGCGCCTCTCGCCAATCCACTGGGACCCTCGCATCAACTCGGCGGGCCGACTGCGGCGCTCCCTGGACGCCCACCTGGCGCTGACCGGCCGCCGCTACGTGGCGCTCTTGTCGCGGCTCGGACTCGACCGCGACCAGCGCAACGCGGCGTTCCTGGCGCGCGCGGCGGCGCTGTGCTGGCGGCGCGTGACGGCCGCTCTGCGACAGTTCGCCCGGCGGGGCGGCTACCGGCCGTGGGCACAGCGGTGGCTGGTGCGCCGCGCCGGAGCGACCATGTTCCTGCGCGTGCTGCCTCCTCACCTGGAGCAGCTGAGGGCAGTCATCGGCACTCAGGTCAGCCGCGCGCGCGGAAGCGCCGCCAGTACAAAATAGACGCCACGCACAGGCGAGGATAGATCAGTCGGTCATAGCTCGGCTCAGCAACACGGGTAACGCGGGCTAATGGCTCAGTTACTAGTTAGCCTGCGCCATGATGTAGGCCCAAGTCGAGGCTACTGATGCTATGGAACGAGGTTCGTTCTTGGTCTATCTTACTAGATCACCCAGCAGCAAGCTAAAATCCGTGTTTTAATCCCTGTCCAATATATTTTCGAATATACCTCGATATTTCCTAATCAGGGATAAGGCACACAACTGAATTCAGACACTATAATGGTGGTAATGGCGAATGCCGGGCGCTGCGATCCCGCGGCCCACGCGCGCGGGCTACTGGGAATGCATCTCGATGCATTATGCCGGTGTGGCGATGACGCACCGTTAGGTCGTCTTTGCGTCAAATGCGATTTATTTTGATGCGAAGTAATGCACGAAGACACGCATCCGGTCCGTCACAACAACACGGGGACGGCACGTTTTTACTAGTGGTGCCAATCAGAACTTGAACCCTCGGAATTCTGATTTGGACAACATTGGACAATCATTTGCTACACCATGGCATTTTTGTAAAGTAATCGTGCATAGCATTGATCGGCGAATAGAAAGTCCAGCTGTCGATATGATTAACCCGCGCCCCACTGCACTGGGGGTCTATTCATAGCCCCCTCTCGTTTTTCTGCAATAACTTCCAAACCGCTTGACGTATCGCCGCTAAACTTTCAGTACCTTAGGCTGCATCAATTTGACACCTTATGTCAAAATTTGAACTTCGTATCTATCATAGGTCGGCCGGAAATGACGTCAGAGTGACGTCATGTTTGGCCGATTTCGACGCAAAACATTGAACCACGGGAATCGCTCCCAAGAGCTCAGTTTTTGAGCTAGATCCAATTTCTTTGCATGAGAGGACTCAAAATGAGCTGCGCTATCAAACTGTTATCTCGAATTTTCAAAATTTTGAAAGTTTCGAAAATTATATAAATTATATATATATATATATATATATATATATATATATATATGTATATATATATATATATATATATATATATATATATATATATATATATATATATATATATATATATATATATATATATATATATATATATATATATATATATATATACAGGTATCGGTAGGATTGTGATTGCAGGATTGCAAAATCCTGATTGCATTCCTTTTTGGTGGATTGCACCTGGATTTGAAATCCATTCCTAAAAACAGGATTTGATTGCGGATTGGATTGCATCATACTTCCAATTTTTGCAATCCAATCCGGATTGTGTTTGATTAGTGCTTTGAAATGGTTTGTTGCGATTGAAAATTATGAGATCGGCTTCATCGGCTTAATGTACTTTGCTATTAAGGGCTTTACATCGAAACTTGAAATAATTTAAACGCTTTTAATTTAAACGCTCAAAATAATATACGCTGATGAACTACATAGGAAGGGCAAAATTACGTATTTGAGGGCGAGTTTTAAAAATATAAAACACTGGTTGGGTAGAAGTTTAAATGTGGGGGTGTTTGAGGCAAAAAATATTTCCCATAAAATACCTGTGCCTTAGATAGGAATTACTCGCAAGACTAGGTACTAGAAATGGGTGATTTGGGGATGGGGGCACGGCCCTATGCCCCCCTCCCTCCCCCAGATCCACTAGTGCACATAATAATACAACAGGATTGCAAAAAAGGATTGCGGATTTGATCACAATCCAAGTGAAAAAAGGGGATTGCGGGTAGGAATGCATTCCACTTCGGTACTAGGAATGTGGATTGGGAATGCAGTCCTTTCAAAAAGGATTTTACCGATGCCTGTATATATACAGGCATGGCATTTTATATATATATATATATATATATATATATATATATATATATATATATATATATATATATATATATATATATATATATATATATATATATATATATATATATATATATATATATATATATATATATATATATATATATATATATACAGGCATTTTATATATATATATATATATATATATATATATATATATATATATATATATATATATATATATATATATATATATATATATATATATATATATATATATATATATATATATATATATATATATATATTAAAATTCAAAATTTGTATTTTTATCTTTTTTTCAAAAACTTTTTGACTTTTCGAAAAAAAAAAAACAATATATATGATAGAACACATGCGTGTGACTTACTCTAGCAAGTTTTAGCCAGATATCTTCAAAAATGGCCAAGTTATACGCATTATAGCAAAAATTTCACAATTTTAAGTTTTTCAAATCAATTTTTCTGTACGAATTTGACATCGTACACCAATATAAATAGCACCATTGTGTTCCGGAGCTCAAACTGCATCTGATAGACATGTTTTTGTTGAACAATTTCAACTTTGAAATTTGACATGTTTTACCTGAAAGTGACCTGACCTATATTCAGATGAAAATGGCCTCAAATGACACAGGCGACACCGAATTCGAAATTTATGGCCTAAATGGACCTTAAAACATGTGTCACGTGACCGACTTATGACATAAGATTTCCGTGACCTATGATGACCAAACGGCAAACCCTGACCTGAAAATCAAAGTACAAGTTTCGTACCCTCAGGGTATCTAAAGCATCTGTTAACGAGTGTGTAAACCAAAAATCAGCCTGATCTGACTTGCAAGCCTGCAGCCAGAGCCCAAAAAGTGAACAAGCCAAATATCGATAGTTTTTACTTTGACCTGACCTGTGACGTCACCGGTGACCTCGAGGTCAATGAAATTAGGTTTCGCTCGACAGTTTTTCTGGGGCTATCAGATGCCGTTTGAATTTTGGCGGTCGGCCCAGTAGTTTCGGAGTTAGGAGGGGGCTATGAATAGCCCCCCCCCCCCCCCAGCAGGGCGCGTTATACGCAGAACCCATTGGGGCGCGGGTTACCACTTTTTGGCTGGTTATAGAACATTAAATGCAAATTAACCCGCGCCCTGCTGGGGACGGGGGGCAGAATCTGCCCCCTCCCGTTTTTCGCTAATAACTTCTAAACGCGTTACGCCAGCGACGCCAAACTTTCAGTATCTTATCATACATCAATTTCACACGTTTTCTGAAAATTTAAGCGTAATCCGTCGGAACTTTTTGAGAAAATGACTTTTAAGTGACGTTATGTCAGCCATTTTCGCCTCAAAAACGGCGAAATTTCAAACGCCGCTAACATCTTCATTTTTAAAAGGAATCAAGACGTAACAAAAAAGGTTATACGTGATTTTACTTTGTCTATCGAATGGCTATCTCGGTTTTTTGAAATTTTTTGATTTGGGCCCAATTTTTTTTCAAAAAACGAACTTTTTTGGGAAAATAATTATAAAATCCAAAATTTTGCGCGTATTAAAAAAACGGAATATATGTCAGAGAAGTGGTATATGTGCACCTACATACCCATTTTTAGAACAATCGGTTCAAAAATGTGGAAGTTATTCAAAATTTTATGACGTCACGACAAACAAATTTTTTGAAAAATGATTTTTTTTGGAAGTTTTAGACCTCGTACGGAAACAAAAGTAGCACCATTCGATTCGCCGTGAAAAATTGCATCAGATAGACACCTTTTTAGGCCTTAACAACCAACTCAAATTTGACCTGACCTTGACCTGACTTCGACCTGAAATTCATCCAGATGTGGTCCATATCACCTATTGAGTGTGCCTATTGAATTCTATGAATAAAATGACCCATAAAACATGTGTCGCACATGCCCTTTTCTATATTTTGTTTTTGGTGACCTGACCTGACCTGACCTGACCTGACCTTGACCTTAACCTCTGAATGATTTTGTATGCAAGGAATATTGTCTTGGTAGCCTAAGAACACGTTTTGGGCAATCAGTCTCAGTCCATGACTCCATTCTTCGGCAACTATGGTGCAAGGCCGATACTGTAGAAACTTGCAATTTGTACCCCTGACCTGACCTTGACCTTGACCTCAAACTTTAAATTAAGTACATGTTTTTAGTTGTTCGTGATGAGATCTTTCGATTGGCGTTTGAATTTTCCAAATCGGACCATTAGTTCGGGAGATAACAGGGGGGGGGGGTAAATTTACCCCCCCCCAGCCCCGCGCGTTCGGCTGGAGACCCCAGCCCCGCGCGGGTTAAACTCGGGTCAATATCAAATGGTTAAAGCCGCTCAGGTTACGATGCTGGTCACAAGGGAGGTTATTTTCAGCTCTGTGGTCAGCGCGCTCCGAGCAATCACGGAGTGGCAAACGTCCAACCCCATATCGGTCGGCGAGAATAGATTTTGTTGTTCTTTTTGGGCACAATTAGCACCAGGCACTCATTATTTACAACAAAACGGATGCCGGGTCCTAGACCAGCGCCCATAGGAACTAGGCGCTTAAGTTACCTATATGTTCTAGACCAGTGGTCGGCAGGTCATTCGGGGTTGTGCCCCCTTTTTAGGCGCCAGGCAGGGCCATTACCCCCACCTACCAGACCCCATTGCTGACACAACCAAGTTTACTGAAATTCCATACCTTTCTGGAACTCTTTGGGTATTTCTACATTTCCGATGCATCAAATTTAAAACATGACACTTCCTCCACAAAGCATTTAATATATCCCATTTAACCCTCGTACATATAGGGGCGGCGGGTTGTTCTTCGTTAAAAGCTCACGTAAAAGCCGTTGTATCACGACCAAATTGCACCCTCGAGCCAATCATTTTTTTTTCTTTACCTGCCCGGGAAAACCTGAGGGCCAGTTTTACTAACAGAAAAATAGCCGCCTGCCGGAGTTTTTGCCTAAAAACCGCTTCACATACGGAGCGTAAGCGCGATTGAGCATGTAAGTGGATAGGGCTGTACCGTTTACGCTCCGTATATGAAGCGGTCTTAAGGCGAAAAATTCCGGCAGGCGGCTATTTTTCTGTCGGTAAAACTGGCCTCTGGAC